TAGGTTTATGGAGGACAGGATGCCAACAGGAAACCTCTAGGCTCAGAGACAGTCTACCTCTGATTGCTCACTGTTAAAAAACGGGGACATCTGTTGCCTTCCTATCCCTGCTGGTGAGCTTCCTGAGGGCCTCTAACAGGCCCCTCTGGGAAGCAGGAGGCTGGACTACTTGCACCTTCAGTCCACAAACAAAGGGTACCCATCTCTTCAGCATCCTTTTCTCACAGTGTCCAACCAGATGCCTTGGTGGGAAGCCCACAAGCAGGACCCGAGTGCCACGTCAACTCTCCTCACTTGCGATTCCCAGCAACTGGCATTCAGAGGCCCACTGCCTCCAACTGGGGAGTTGGAACAAAGCCACCTTGGCTAGTGACCACTAATAGCCTTAATCTCCATTAATTTGTCTAATCCTCTTTTAAACCAATCCAAGTTGGTGGCCATCCCCATGCCACAGGAATCTTCCCAGCATTCAGCTTCACTGGGTTCTAGTACTATGGGAGGGGAAGTAAAACCTATTTTCCATCCATCTTCTCCCATGCCAGGCATAATCTTATACAGTTCTACTGTGCCCCGTTCTCCATGCTTACTCATAGCTTTTCTTATGTTATCATCTCACTCACCTCCTGCACCCTCTAGGATGCCACGGACCACAGCCTGAACACCACCCGGTCTTATCAGCCTCTCAGAGAGCAGCTGCCCACAGAGACGCCGGAGCCAGGCTGGGGCTGGTGCCAGACCATGCTCACTGCTGCGTCCACTGGAACCAGAGCCCTGGAATGGTCAGGAGGGAAGAAGAGGACAAGTAATGGGTTGCAGAGCCACACCAGTGAGCACACTTAGACTCCCCGGGAAGCAGGGTCCACCTGCAGTACCTGTTTGGGTCCACCTTGCAGCAGGAGCAGTTCTCGAACCACCAGCGGCTGGTAAACTCTGTTCAAAAGGCCTTGCAATGCCTCCCTGCAGCTGCTTCGCTCCTCTTCTGTAAGGCCCTAAAAAAAAGTTTGCATAAAATAGCAGCAGCAGTAAAATTAATTGTACAGTATGGCTTTGACTCCCTCTACTGGGTGGTCGGCAATGTGCTGAAATCTTCCACAAAGGTCTGCATTCCTAAGCAGACACTGCACAGAAGACATAAGATCAACCTCCCCACAACTTGCTATTCTTTGTTCTTATTTTCTGAAAGGCAGCTGCAAAAGGACAGCAGTCTGAGTTAAGAGATGTGGGAGGCCTGCTTAACCCTCTTCCTTTCTCCAGTTTTACACCAAATCACCATATTTAGCTACTTTTCTCTCAAAAATAGCCCTTCGGGTAACTTAAAACCAATCAACAGACTGTTCGTACTCCGTGAGTAGCATCTAGTTTGGCTCTCAGGCTAGCAGGCGGGTGCTTTGGGTACCTGAAAAGGGTTACTGCACTGATGCAATCTTGTTTGCACCTTGTTGTCTGTTTGGCACAAACTTGATGTTGTCATTTGCAGTGTTCTGTTGTGTCAACATTATCTCAGTGCAGAGAGAGAACTTGCGGATGTGGACAAGTTTGCACATAGTCTTACCAGGCCCATGTCCAACCTGAGCAAAGTGTTACATGATGTCATTCCAATGTCCCATGCTGCTGCAAGTGATGTAAACACTGAGTGTTTGCTGAACCGCTACTGCTTCATAGGTTGCATCCCTCAAACCCAGACACCATCACTTGCACCAGTCCAGTGTTTGAGTTGCACAGAAGGTTCCAGCGGGATCATAAGGATGAAGAAAATAATAATTTTATACTGTATAATTTTGATGATTCCATTTTCTTTTGAGCTTATGGCCTAGCTAAACTGAAAAGGCCAGTGCTTGCCTGCTTTTACAGTACAGAACTAGCTGCTTTTACGTACTGCATGTAGCGAATGTCCGTTACAGAACACTGAAAAGAATAAACTGTTAGAATCTATGGTGGCCACTGTATGCATGAAAAGAGAATCAGCTAGGCATGGCAATTGTGACTAATCTTGAATTGTTTTATAGATGGATCGAATAGCATATTGGGAGACACTGAATGAATAGGACAATTAGTCAAAGTCTCAATAAAGAAATCACATGATATTATAATGAGGGCTGATCTGAAGAGCCAAATTATTTTGATTGGTTCAGAATGGTGACATTGTGTTGCAACTATTAAGACTGCTGCGATCCTTTGATTGGTGAATAGAAATCATGTGTAAAATCTGGAAGTGTATAAAAACATTGCTTAGGATGTGGTTCTTCACAGCCTCCTTATTTTTAAAGGCTGTTCCTACTTGTATTGCTATAAAGGCCTGCATTCTTTTCTTTTGGGTTTTGGGTTTCTGGGAGGAACATCTCCAATCCAGGAACCCCTTTTAAATTTCTCCAACAATGTAAGACACTCTCTCTTAAATTTTCTAAGGAGAAGACAGATTAGGAAAGTTATCAAAATTTGGAAAGTTATCAAAAACACCTTTCATCAAGAGATGTGCATATTTAAGTGATGCTCTATAAAAATGTTGAGATGCCCATCCTGACTATTCAGAGTTCGCAACTGGTGCTAAACAAAGTATACTCTTTATGCCACAGATGTGCGATCTGTGGCCCTCCAAACATTGCTGGATTCCAACTCTCATCATCTCTGATTACTGGTCATGACAGGGAGGGCTGATGGAGTCCCACAACATCTAGAGGACACCAGGATGGGGAAGACTGAACTACACGCATTTCCCATCACACCAGGGGCTGATGGAAGTTGGAGTACAACAGTAGCAGAAGGCCACAGAAGGTTCCCAACCCTGAATCCAAGCTGACAACTTACCATCTGCTCCTCTGAGGGCTTGGATTCTTCTTCATCCTTCCTTCTTGCTGGACAGAATCCGAGCTGGCACAGCCCCGCCAGGAGATCCCCCAAGTGACGTGTGAGAATGAGTCTGCTCAGGGACGTGTGATCAGCAACCTCCATTAGGACAGTGCAGGTTACAAAAAGCCGGCGTGTGGCACTGGAAATGCATCTGGATGAGGCCACTTCTTGAACCAGGGCACTGAATTCTGTCCTGCTTCTCAGGGGAAGCCCAACGCCAGGCAAGAGATATGGACAAATGCCCAAGGTCACAATGAACTGTAAGGCCACCTGCACAGTTTTCTCCTGGGCAATGCTGAGAGTGTCGGGACTCAGAGGAGGTGCAGCTTCAGCTGTCTTCGGGTTTGGCTGAGGTGGACAGTAAGTTGTTGCTAAGAGGACCATGCACTGCTTGAGACACAGCAGAAGGAGCAAGACATGGCAAGTAAAATTCCAAGGCACATCCGGGCAGGACGCTAGGCACTGAGCCTGCTTAGAGACCTCAGTTCTCAACCTCTGCAGTTCATCCCATTTTGGGTCCTGGGCAAACTTCTCTTCCAAAATGGATACATTGAAGCGCAAAGATTCCAGCAAATCAACATGCTTCGTTGACTGCAGAGGGCCTGAATCTGCCCCTGAAAAGAAAGACAGACAGTTGATCACATGCAGCAAATATATCTACACCACTCTAAAACGGGTTTGAAATACAACCCCCTCCCCCAAGAAACACTGGAAATTATGGTTCTGTATGCAGACTAGGGATCTCTAGTAAGTCCATAACAATGGGATATTTTGCTCTATTTGTTGAGAATTTGATGGGAAGTTTTAAAGGAGCATGCTGCTCGTTGTGCCAGAAATAGTCCAATTTTATTTCTGATTTTGTTGGAATGATTTTTTTAAATATCAGACAATAATGTTGCTGAACACATTTGGTTTGGAGCTGCATCTTATTATATAGGTATATTTTTCCCACCCCAAAGTTTCTCCTCTCCCTTCTGGGTTACAGCATAATCTTAATCATGTCTACTCAGAAGTAAAGCAAAGGACTTGGGGCATATTCCCAGGTTAAGTGAGGCTAGGACTGCAGCCTTTGTTTTTCTGAGAACCTTGAGTTGTCTTGCTCTGGCTTCTGAAGCAGCCAGGCCATTCAGAAATGTCCCCCCCCCCACCTTTTTGGACTGCCCCACTTTTTTCAATTCATGGGTTCCTGTAGAAAGATGCCAGAGTAAGACCATTAGTTCAGCTAGCCCAGTATTGCCTCTGACATTTTATTATTCTTTTAAGTTGTGATAAGCCCTTCTCAGTTGTTCTGACTGGCACACTCTCCAGGGATTCAAGTGGGCTGTCTTTCTCCACCCTACCTGCAGATGTTGTCAGGGATCAAACCTGGGACACCTTCTGCACATGACACATGTGCTCTACTACTGAGCAGCTACTACTGTGGCCGTTCCCCTAAAAACGAAGCAAGCTTCCAGTCCTCATGGTTCTGGATGAAGGGCTGATTTAAACAAGAACATAGGAAGAAGATGCCTTGCACTGAGCCCATCGCGACCAGTACCGTTTGACAGCGGGTTTCCAGCAAGGGGCGGGGGAGGGCGGGTGATAACTTTGTACAGTATATCGCTTTGAGCTCTTGGGATACAAAGGTAAATAAATAAATAAAATAAAATGGCAATACGCGGCACACCACCCCCTAAAATTGGCCAGAGGGCATTCCCTGGAGAGACGGGCTTTCTCGGAGGGAATCACCGCCGCGCCACACCCGCCCCAGTACACCGTCTCTAATGAGGCCGTACAGCTGCGGGAGCGACCAGGCCGCCTGCAGCCTCCCATGAACCGCAAAGATGCAGGAGCCCTTGCCTCCAAAGCCCCCACCCTCTTCTCACCGGCAGCTTTGGCTGTCCCCAGTAGCAGCTCCAGCGCCTCAATCACCCGCCTCAGCACAGCCTCGCTCCCGGCCATCGCGGCTGCTTCACACTGTGCTTCTGGCCGCCATCTTAGGAAGGTCGGATAAGCCGAGACAGTGCCGTCATTTTAGGAAGGTCGGACGCCACATTTCGCCATCTTGGGAAGGTCAGGAGGTACGCGAGCGAGTATAAGGAGCGGCCTTCTTGGGAAGGTCCTCGCCCTGAAGCAGGCTGCCATTATGGGAAGGTACGATAGATGAGGGTGCGTCTCCTCTGGACTTCAGGGGCTCTCTTACTTGCTTCTGGGTTTGGGATCAGCATCAGTGCGGTTTTTTTATTTCAAAGGAAGTGAGTCCCGGATATCTCTGGCAGGCGCTGAACAGGCTCAGGTAACATCCGCACCGTATTGTGGCGTCCCCCAAAGAATGATGGGAGTTGTAAGGATGCGGTGAATTGTAGCTCTGTAAGGGGGTGAACTACAGTTCACCAGATTCTTTGGAAGACGTCGTGTGGTTTAAATGTATGGTGTAGATGTATTTGTTCAGCGTCTTTCAAGTTCTTCTGCGCCTTCAGCGTGCACGCACCTAAACTTTGTACAGTATAGTATTCTGAAGTGTTCAAAGTGATTCACATGCATTACCTAGTTATAGCCCTTACACCAACCCTTCAGGGTAGGCCAGTATTATTATCCTCTCCCCATCCAATACCCTATTACAAACAGGAAGGCAGAGGCTGAGCGGGACCAGCACTATCATTAGGTGGATTATTAATATACTGTATTTCATATATAGAGAGAGATTTATGGGCTTCTCTTTCTGAGGTGCCAAAATAACTTGGCCAACCTTGGGTGTTACCCACCTTAACCCGGAGCAGGAACATTTGCTGTTCCAGCTCTGCTGAGTTCATGGCAAAGGGGAAAGATTTGAGCTAGGGACTTTCTGGCTGTCCTGCATCTTTACTCCTTAATTTCACAATATTTTATTTTTTTATATATAAATTTCTTATTAATTTTCCAACATAAATAAAAAACAATACAATAAACAATACATAAACACACAAACATATAGACACGTATAATTTCACAACCTCTTTTTCATAAACCTTACTTCCCCGACTTCCCCATACCTCCCCCTTCTGCATCCCTATTTCCAAATTTCTTCAGCAACCCCTCGCTTCAATTGACTGATTACTCATTTTCTTTCTTTTCCCCCCCTTTCCTCTCTTACTTAATCAATTTACAGCTGTAATTAATTTCACAATATTTTAAAGCCATCAATAGTCCTACATCCCCTTGGCATGGGCTCAGCATGTAACATGTAACAGGTTCATTTATTTATTTTCTTAGCTGGCAAACCAATCCTTAGCTTGGAATGATGATGTTTCCAGCAGAAGCCTCTTGCAAATTACACACTTTAAACTCAGCCTTGGCTTGGAACTGGTAGGTCATCTCTTGCATTTATTCTTTTGGGCACAGTAGGAAGACTGAGCAAGGGATACTCAAATAAGTTATAGTTTAGTACTTCGCTGGATCTGACAGAGCAACCTTCTCCAATGGGGGAGGCCGCCTGTTATATTCCATTCCCAAGACGACTTGCCTGGTGCCACTACTATTATCCTTTCAGCACCAATCGTCTTATTGTTATACTATATCGGGGCTTTCTAGTTTAGAAGAAAAAGACACATTCTTATTATAAAGGTGTGTAGAATTATGCATGGTATTGAGAAAGTGGATAAAAAAAGTTTTATCCCAGTCAGAATACTAGACACTGGGGCTAGCCAGTGAAACTGAACAATAGAATATTGAGGATGGACCAGAAGTACTGAACACAACATGTAGTTAAATATGGGATTTGTTCCTACAAGATGTAGCGATAGCCACCAAACTGGATGGCTTTAAAAGAAGAGTGTTAAACAAATTCACAGAGGATAAGGCTCTCAATGTCTACTAACAACATTGGCTATGTTCTTCCACTGTTGGGCATAGGAAGTGGGGAAAGTGCTGCTGCATCTAGTCATCCAATGTGAGAATAGGATGCTGGACTAGTGTTACTGTATATTGTAAAAGATCCAAAACACTGGAGACAAATGCTGCAGCTTTTTTTATTTCAGGAACTCACTCAGAACTGAAATTAAAGCTAACTTCACTCTTTTTATGTTCCTCAGGAATCCTTGTTATGCCTTTGACTACAAATCCCAGTACACAGTTCACCTACTACAATACCGGAACTAGAGGATCTCTGGTCTGATCCAACAGCGTTATTATTATTATTTTAAAGTTTTCTGATCTTGTTTTTGGAAGGAGGTCCTGGAAACTCTACTGAAGGGCAGCTCATAAATCCTTTAAATAAATAAGGAATATGGCTGATACATTCTAATACATTTATTCTGAGTCAGGAAAATATTGCAAGTTTAAGTGGTTGACCAATTTCAGAAAATGATGTAGAGAAATCCAGCAACAAACAAAAAGAGCATTTTTTAAAAATACGTTTTTATTAAAATCTTATTAAAAAGGAATCACATAAAATAAAGGTATAAATAATGACTTTTAAGGCATGTTCCCCTCCACCTGTCTTCTATGCATTGCATATTCGAAAAGGTAAGCTAAATATACAGACCTAAAACCAGAGAAAGCCACTTTAAAAAACAACAACCACCCTATCAATTGAACAGTAATCATATAAAGCAGTTAACTCTGAAAAACACTTGGTAGGAAAAAAACTGGCACCTTCACCAGAATGTCCACCTAAAATTAAAAATGGATTTCTTGGCTGAGAAATGCATAAAAAGAAAATGTACACCTTATTCAACTGCATTTTACACACACAGAAAGTGACATATATGAACAACAGTACACAAAAAGATACAATCCATGGCATAAAGGACTGAAACTAGGTTTTAAACATGGTTAGTATGAGCATATGTCTGCAATATTATGGGAGGTCCAAAAGGTCACCAAGAGAATGGTCAAGAGGTCAGTGCTAAGGCTGCAGGGCAAAGGCACTCGGTATCAGCTGAATCAGGGACCCCTAAGTATTGGTCTTCCTCCTCTGGGATTTCTTGTCATCTGCTCTCTCTTAAATCTTGCTACTGTCTAGGACTGCAATCATACGCACATCTGCCTGGGAGTAAGTCAATGAACTCAAAGGGGACTATCTAAGAATTGACACATATAGGATTACACTGTAAGCATTTGGAATACTCACAGCTGTTTTAACTGTGCACTAAAGACAGCACTCCTATAAACTACCAAAATCCTGCACCAAGGAAAAATGAATTATGCAGTGTGCGCCACACATATCTACAGATAAACCCTGTATATTGGGGGTAGGGAAACTTTCTGATCCATGGGCCAGATTCCAACCTTGCAGGAAAAATTCAAATCCCTGGTAGGTCAAGTTTGGCCCACAGACCAGAGATTCCTCACCCCTCTGCCCTACAGCAGTGTTTCCCAACCTTGTGCCTCCAGCTGTTTTTGGACTACAATTCCCATCATCCCTTGCCACTGGTCTTGCTAGTCAGGGATGATGGGAGTTGTAGTTCAAAAACAGCTGGAGGCACAAGGTTGGGAAACACTGCCCTACAGCATATTCTGTTCCTGCTGTTTTTAGGGAAGGGCAAAAAGATTTGCACCAAAAGCCTGCTTCATTCCCCATATGCTAGAAAACCTGCCTCAGCTTCCACTATGTTAATCAGATACCATCCATCTTTGCAGCCAATTGCCCTCTGAAAAAAAGCCAAGATTCTCCAGAGGCTGAAGGTTCTTCCCCGAGTTCCAAATTTCACATTTGTGTTACACTTGTACAGAACTGCTGGATACACTCAGCAGCCCTGGTAATAAATCTTTGGTTAGTGCTTTGGAATGACAGTGCTAGAAACACCTAAAGTGCATTAGTACTAAGGGTTCCCAAAGAGTTAACAATTTCAGACCATGTAACTTTAGCTGCATTTCACCAAACTGCTAGGCTTGAAGTCCTACCTAAAATATTCCTTAAACTTTAGCCTATGCATTTGCAAATAGTATTCTATTCTTACTGTATTAATAAATCAAGTATGTTTGGCAAATTGCCTCAGAGGCTCTGATAGTGATAAAAAAAACACACCCTTGAAGTTTCCATATAATGTATGCTCTTGCCTCTATGGAAATCATAATCTTTGGTGAACAAGGGTGGAATCATGAAGAAAATGTGGTCATCTGAATGCACCCCAAGAGGGGCTGATATTGGGAGTAAGGCAAGTTTTATGCAGCATTTTGGCGACTTGCAAGAAAGAGCAGCAAATTGGACCAATGGTCAGCTGCTGGGAAAAGTTGACGATAAGTCAATTTCATTTCTGTCTTTCCACACAGAGCTAAACCCTACTTAATCCCAGTGACATCTAGTCTTCTTCCTCGCCCCCTCCATACATGTCAGCCAGCTTCTTGAAACGGTTGCCCCAGTCATTCAGATAGTCATAATCTTGGTCTCTGTCACCATTGGAGGAATTCAGAGAACTGAGGGAGGCTGCTTCAGAGCCACTGCCCTCGTAGTCAAACACAAGCAGAGAGTCGTATGGGGGTGCCGTGGGGTCTGTATCTGCTGCCTTCAAGTTCTGTAGGAAGGGAAAGGAAGATGTGTTCAGTTTGTTCCACATTAGAGCAAGTTGATTGTGGCAATAGTGGCCCTCTGCTTTAGAGCAATGAGATACCAGCTCTCTGGAGAAAATCATGACCTCTGACCCCAAGGCCACATCTAGAGACATGACTTTGGAGAACACTGTATGACCAGCCACTGGGCAGATATGGGGTAATTTTCTTCCCTCTTATTAAGCATGCTCTTCCTCTCACCACCACCACATTTTTATTGCATTTTTTCATAGTAATATAAAAATGAAAATATAAATCAAAATATGACTGGAAAATATAACATACATATAACCAAAACTGAAGATTTGTCATTCATTGGGACAGATCTCCATTGAATTATCAGTCATGCAAATAGATACTGTGATCAATTTGTTCCAATAAGAATTGTAGTGACTTGAGAAATGTTCTATAAAATAATTCCTTTTTCTTTCCTAAACAGACTTAAACTCATCAATAACAAAATCCAATTTTGTTTGTCTATCAGATGCCCAAACTTCAGTTAACTGGTCAATCAAAGCTAAACCCTTTACACTTCAGTACCACTGCAGAAGTGTATCATCATCATCAATTTATGAGGAATATCCAAACATATTGCTAACAGTGACAGCAAATGTTATGGGACTCTTTTGTGTGGCTCAGCTGCCAGTTTCACTCACCTCGTCAATGAAATTGCCAATCTCATCAGGGTTGGCAGGCCGTGGGCGGTATTGCGGAGCCGGCATGAGAGTCGGAACAACATCATTGCGGGTAATTTCAGGGCGGGAATCCAGGCCGCGGTGCAGCTGGCTCATGTCATAGTCCTAGGAAGGGTAGAGAGACACATTCAGAAAATAGATGCAAGAGGTAAGATGATCCAGGGTATAGATGCTACCATTTCCACTCATCACTTAAGGCCTTTTGCAGGACATAACATCTTTAGCTAACAAGGATCAGGAGGATGGTGAGAGATGGGCAGAATGCATCTTCCAGTGTAGAAATGAATGTATATAAACACATGCTGTTTACTCCCTTGGGACATCAATACATTTCTTAATCCATTCTTACATTTTAATTTTTTAAAATATATGGCTGGTCAGGCCAAAGTAGATTATGAAGTAAATTTCTGGGAATTGCTTGATCTAAGCCAGGCATGGGGAACCTCAGGCCTGGGGCTGAATGTGGTCCCTCCTTTGCTCCCCCACCCCCCACCCCAGGACATACCTCTTGCTAGCCCTGCTTTGTGCTTTGCAACCTTCTAGAGTGTTTTAGCCTGGCGGGAATGTGCCCTTCTTTGTTCTATGATAATGTATCATATGCCTGGATGAACAGAGGGGGAGAGCGTGTGCGCACACATGTGTGTGTTTGTGTGAAGCCACTTGTCTTATAGTCTACTGCAGTGTTTCCCAACCTTGGGCCTCCAGCTGTTTTTGGACTACAGTTCCCATCATCCCTGACCACTGGTCTTGCTAGCTAGGGATTATGGGAGTTGTAGTCCAAAAACAGCTGGAGGCCCAAGGTTGGGAAACACTGGTCTACTGTACAGAAGAGCCCCACCCATTGCTCCACCCACTTTTATTTCTTGCTCCATCCTTCACTGGCATGTGGCTTCCAGAAGGGAATGTGGTCCTCAGACTGAAAAAAGCTTCCTATCCCTGATCTAAGCAAAGGTTCAAGAGATGTGGCCAGCTTGCAATGTGACCTCAGGACTATCTTACTCTACAAGTCAGGTGGCAAGATGTGACGTTCACAAAAGAACAAAAATGTGCAGGGGAGGAAAGAGGTGGCATGACGACTTGCAAAGCAGGGCATGATGGCTTTTGTGGGCAACCCACAGAAGTAGCCCCATCCCTCTTGGGCTAAGACTCAGCAGCTCACCTGATCCTCCTCTCCACCACCCTCTTCGTCATAATAGTAGACGTTGTCTCGTGTGTCATCCTCTGGTGGAAGCAAAGGCTCCTTCACTGCCTTCCTCCTCCTCACAAACAGCAGCAGCAGGAGCAGGAGGACTGGAAGAAAATAAAGTTGGAGAAGCAACTGTGAATGCCAGCCTGGACTGTCTGCTCGGCTGATTCAGGGAGCTCTAAAACAGAGCAGGATCTATTCTGCACTTCCACAACTACAGAACGGGCAGACAGGTGTATTTGTCTCAGCTTCAGGCATACCTTTTCCTACAGCAGTGCTAACCCAGAACTGCAAGCCATTTATCTGCCCCTTTCGGCAGCTTGCAAGCAGATCAGCTCTGCAGCACAGCAGTATGGTTTTACTCAAGGTAGACTTGTTTAAATTAATGGACGCACAGGAGGAAGTGTTATCTGCAGATACCTCAAACACACCCCAAAGTTTCAACAGCTAGCAAAGGAGCATGTCCTTTAGGTCCTCTTCTTTTCTCCCACTCCTCAGCACTTCACACTGGCCAGCTCTACCATTTTCCACTGGAAGCTCTTGATATTAAAACATCTATCTTCCCATCACATTTTGGAACCAGATTTCTAGGTATTGCTTTTCTTCATCCATTGCATTTAGCTAGGGCTCTAGATACTACTAGTGCAAAGTTAGTCTTACTGGAACCAGCATTCAGCATTTATTTCTACAAAACGATCATACTGGTTTTTTGTATCCTTTGGAAAATGAACAGGCAGGAATGTCTGGCGAAATCTGAGCTGCTGGGGAGAAGAGGATCCAGGATAATTTCCACTGATCAGCTTCAATGCCTGGCATTTCTCCTCCCTGCCGCTGCCAGTGCCATTCCGCACAAGTGTCAGAGACAAAACAAATTTATTTCTGCAACTGCACCTGTGTGCATGGTCTACTGAAGTTGCAGAATCCATCTATTATTATTTACTACATTTGTCAGTTGCTTTATAGAACTGAAGAAGTCTCAACAAATATATAAAGAGAGGTGTGTTGATGTCAGGCATAAAATGGACAGAATACATGAGAAGGGGGCTGGATCACTTTCCCATCCCCCTGCACCTTCAAGGGCACAATGAGACCTTGCAGGAAATACTCACTCAGGAAGCCAAGGATGCCACCAAGGATGCCCAGAATGGCTGGAATCCCCATCCCGCCTGCGATATATGCCCTCTTCTCGCAATTCTTGGCTGCCCCCTCACAGTCACACACTTGGGCTTTGACTGTTGTTGTCTGGGACACTTCCCCGGCGTCCTGTAGCTCAAGGGCAATGTTGTATTCACCTGGCTCCAGCTGCTTGGTCAATTCGAGGACCAGTTTATCTATGGGGTAGCATAAGGAGAGAGAAAAAGCAGGCTCAGGGTTAGGGCTTTGCAAAGCAAGGAAAACAGACTCTGCTCAGCCTTTTTCTATCCTAATCATGAACCAACTTGAATATTAAAATGATTCTGGAAAGGGTCTATCTGGTTTAACTAACCAGTAGATTATCTGGTTAATGCACGTGCAGATTTGACAAATGCACATTGTCTAGTTTTTGTCTCATTCTCACAGAGCTGCAGTTAAGGTGGGAAACTTGAAATTTGGACAGTACTGCTTTCAACACCCCACTCACCCCATGGCATACTTTTCCATGCAGGAAGTAGAGGGGACAGGATAATTAGTAAGTCAGGTAGAAGGCTTGATTAGAAACCTCCTTCCTGATATTATAGTTTCCCTGCATGTATTATTATAATAATTATATATCTATTTATGCACTGCCTTTCCCCCTGATGGCACTCAAGGTGCCTTAAAGATATAAACAAAGAATACTAGATACATATAGAAAACTAGATACCAAGAAGGAGGATTCTACTAAAGCCTTCTACTTGCCTTACTAGTTTTCTATGCATGGGAAAGTCACACAAATCCTGTTCTGCAGTCTAAAGTAACACAAGCGGTGGGACAGCTTTGCCACCTCAGCTGCTGTTCGTGAATGAGGCCTCTTAGGTAGAGCAGAACAAGATGTTCCTGGACAGCTCAAGGCTAGGCAGTCAAGCAATTTCCCACCACACATGCATACCGGTCCGCAGAGTGCAGACACCACCCCTCCCACTAGGTTACCTCCATTTACTTCGACCGTCCAGTTGGCGCTTGAGCCCAAGAGCAGCATTGCTTTGAAGGGTTGAGTGTTTGGAGGAAGATCCTTGTCCACAATGTTCAATTCCTTGCGTTCAGGGCTCCGGTTGCAGATGTCAAAGGATCGTGGGTCTGGCACTGGCCCATTGTCATTCACATCCTCCAGGTACAGGAGAAGAGTTCCTGTGCCTGTGAGCAAAGGCATCCCTAAAGAGAAGCAAACGTATTTCAGTTAGTAAAAATAATGTGCAAAAATGCAGTATAGTAGGACTTTTTGTTTGCAAAGAAGCTACAAATATTAGGGAAAGCTGATTACAAAATTTCAGTTAAGGGGAAATTGCAACAAAAATATACCAGAAGAAATTGTTTGTGTGTGTGTGGATTTTTAAACAAACAAATAACGGTGCAACCGTGAAGAAATAAGAAACTAAAACGGATAGGTTATTAACCTGTTCTATGTTTTAGAAGTTTTCATTGTTGTGGCACAGTATGGTTTCCCCTCAATCTTTGAATGTTTAGACACAGCAATGTACACGTTTTTCAAAGATAAATGCGAAATTGTGAGATGCAGAAATCTCAGGAGGAACTGGCATCAAAAGGACAAGAGGGGCACTCCTTGGGTCTTGGGATATGACAGTTAAACTCCTCAGGTTCCAACATTTAGCACAACTATCCATCACAGTCACTGTAGCAAGGGCCTGCTCCTGCCTGGGACTTGGAGGAGCACCTGACCCCAAGGAAAAGGGCTAAAAATGTGTCCCAGTTACCATTGTCACTCGCCAAGATGAGAGCCGTGTAGGTGTTGTCTACCACAAATTTAGACTCCCTGTCCAGAGGGGCTTTCGTCTCTATGATGCCATTTTCAGGGTTAATCTTCAGCCACCCTGCTGGGTCACTCCCAATAGAATAACTGCAAGAGAAATGAGGGTGAGTGACAGCAGCTCTTACATTTTGCTAGTCAAAACAATTGAAGGTTCATCCCTGTAAGTCAGGGATGGGCAACCTGCAGCCCAAGAGTCACCTGTGGCCTCATTACTTGCCGGTGGTGAAGCCCAAATAGGGGGGGGGAGGGGGGAGGAAAAAATGGCCAGAAAAGGAAAACGAATTGAGCAATGGAAGGGTTGAGTGAGGGGGTGAAAAGCTTTGCAGAGGTAAGCTGAGAGCTCTGGGCAGGGAGAGAGAGGATGGCAGAAAAAGAGAGGAAAATGGAAAAGAGAGGCCCCATCCATTGGGCTCTGGCCCTGACCACTTTCAGCATGTCCCCCCTGCCCCCTGAAAAATGCTCCACACCTTTGTCTAACACACCTTGGCTATTAAAACAGATATAGATAATAAGTGCTCATTCAGCTGAGTGTACTGTACCTAATAGGCCAAATACAGAGGGGGAAGGAAGCCAAGCCTACAAGAATACACTCACAGAAACCTCAATAAGAGCTTGAAATCTCTCCTAGGTATGTGCTGTCCAATGGGACACTTAATTTGGGCTGCTAAGTGGTGTGGAGTGTCATTTAGGTATTATTGCTTTTTATTAACAAAGTTATACCTTGCCCTGAATTAAACAAATTTCTGGGTTGTTTTTTAAAATCAAATTAAAAGTTATTATTAAAACACCACAAAAAACTGCAGTAAAAACATTCAGGTCTAGAACCTTTTTTTAAAGCCTTCATTGTTGCCTTATTGTATGGGCAGGATGGTGTGAAGGTCACAGTTCCTTCCAGTATCCTGGGCCCTAAGCCATAAATGGCTTTCAAAGTCAAACACCAGTGCTTTGAATTGCACCCAGAAAAACAGATGAAATGCCCCTGCAACTGTTTAAGGACTAAAACAAAACCCGTGTTGCAATACAGAATAATCTGCTCTAATACAGCCGTAACACGTGGCTAATAAGTATGGTAAATGTATTATTACTAGTAGTCAGAGTATAATCCAAAATTTACAAATCATAATCATTATATAATGCATGTATAAGTCCATAAACAAGAAAGTGTCAACGTAATGATACTTATAGACCAGTGCTCACTAACCAGTGCAGCCAACAGTTGGCTACACTGGTTAGTGAGCACTGGTCTAATTTATTAGAAATTATTTGCTGACGAAGATACATCTTCGAAACAGTTGACGTAATCCGGAAATACTGTTCTGCTTGTTTGCTGTTCATTACTGAATTCTACACGTTGGAGCACCCACCACTACAATACTGTTGGACATTATCTATTGAAAGGCATTCTACCTGCGTCGTGGTGTTCCCTGACAGCAATTCATTACATTGACTATTTCTTGTTTATGGACTTATACATACATTATGTAATGATGTTTATGATTTGTAAATGTTGGATTATATTCTAACTGTTAATAATAATACATTTACCATACTTATTAGCCACGTGTTGCGGCTGTATTTGAGCAGACTGTTTAAGGACTGACAAGATGATGTTTCCAAGACCTGCTCTGAGCAACCTTGCAGCTGCATTCTGAACTACTTATGAGCTTCTCCCTTGGCTTCTTCCTCTTGTACACACTTCCTTGCTCTTTCCTGTCCCCTTTAGCTATCTGACAGCGGAATGAGCTCTGCTCCTGACCCTTCAGCTCTGCCCTATCTGAGACTCGCTTCCTTGCTAACCTGCTCACCTAGCACCCTTGCAAAGCATTCAAACCTTTCCTGTACCTGACCGTCTGCTTTTGATTTGTGTCGGGGTCCTGAGCGGTGTAGGTAGTCACCAGCTGCCCAGCAGGGAGGTCTTCAGACTTCGTCACAGACTTTTCAGGGGGTTAAAGATGGGGGCTTCATTCTCATCCCTTACGTTGACAGTGATTGTGGCCGTGGATGTTGGGAGAGTCACTGAGAAGGGAACTTCATTCACCACAGTAACCAGAAGGGTGAAGAGATCCTTTGCCTCAAAGTCCAGACCCTAGAAAGGAGGCAAGAGAGAGAGATGATGCAATCAGGGGGTGCCAGTAACATCCACCTAAACACCAGGGCAAAGCATGAAGTCCCAGCAGCTTATGAGGCAGGAAGCTTAAGAGGACTGCAGCTCAAGGAGGGACTTCGGCTTACCTTAATGGTTGTCAGGAGACCATCATTGGTTTGCGGATCGGTAGCCACTTCAAAGTTGCCTTCCTCGTTCCCTTTCACAATGGTGTACTTGGCTTTCCATGCTGAGGTCCCCGGCTGATCTGCGTCTTTCACCAAAAGCCTGGCAACTTGGAATCCCACCTTGTTCTCTGGCACAGTTGAAACGTACTAGAAGACAGAAAGAGGATGTTGACTTAGGCCAAGTGTGGCTTTGCCTTGCTGGGGTGCAGAGGCCCAGCTCAGTGGGATGCTATGATGAGGCTCTTCTGGAACTTCCCCAGGGCCTCCCCCTCCTTTTCTGGAGAAGGCAGGAGTTTGGGATGCAGGGACAGAGGATTTTGGCAGGGTAGGACGCAATGTCAGACTGCTCAAGGAAGGCGTAGGAGAAGCCTCAACATTACCGTGAGTGGGTCAAATATTGGCTGGTTGTCGTTCGTGTCCGTGACAGTAATCACTGCTTTCCCTGTAGTACTTAAGCCTTCTCCTAACATGTCTCTAGCTTCGATGACCAGCGTGTACTGGGGGAATTCCTGAAAGCAAACCAAATAACCAGGTTATGTTAACATTACAGAGAGAGAATTCTCAATGGGGAAGGGGGGCTTGCGTGTGAAAAGATCAACCTAGATTAGCCACTTCTTATCATTATCATTACAACAGTTAAACTCATACAACATAGTAAGTGAAGAGGTGGCTTCAAATCAGCATTTGATCAGGTGCATACTTATCACTGCTTCCAAAAAGGTTTAAGTGCAAGTGATTCGTTGCAAGTGTGCAGACTTGGAAAGTGCTACAGGTGTGCTTGATAGTGATTGACACCCTCAAACACTGCCCGCCCCCTCCCGCTCACAGCCAGGACATTCACCTCTCGGTCAAGGCCTGTTGTGATCACACTGATCCACCCTGTTTCATTGTTGATGGTGAACATCTGACTGTAGGGCTGCTTGGGCTCCTGGCTGATTATGAAATAGGTGATGACCCCGTTGTAGGTATTCACGGCATCATCTTTGTCCGTGGCAGACACTTGCATCACTGGGGTACCTGGGAATGCATAAAAATGGTCAGCACGGTCAATGGTCAGGGATGAGAGGATTTGCAGCAACTTCCCATGAGGCTGGTCCATGAGGACAAATGGGGCACTAGCCCACAAATGTCTGTCTGTCCTCAACTAGCCCAACCACTCTGCCCTCCTTGTTAAATGCATCCATTCTGGAGGGTGAGGTGCAACTGGCTGCCATCTTCCTTCTCCTTTAGCCTCAGTGTTGCCCTTGTAGAACTCAGCAGGGCAGGGGGACAAAGCTAGAATTCATTGGCTCTGCCTCTCATTGACTGCAACCCTACATACAATTGGGCTCACTGCCTTCCACCCAACTAGTCCCAATGGGCACCAGCCACTGATGGCCTTTACTCACATATATGCAATTATACACGCACACCTACCTGGCTTGGCTCCTTCCACTACAGATCCTTCAAAGACGCTCTGGGTGAAAATGGGCTTGTTGTCATTCTGGTCACTGACCTTGATGATGATCTCCATGGGGTCCTCCACAGGCTGCCCATTCACAGACACAGCATGAGAGAAAAGCTGCAGAGGAGAAGCAACAAAGGGCCATTAATTCACTAGTATGGACACAAAAATAAAAAAAGTGCTCTTTTTCTATTTTTAAAGGAAGGAACTACAGACATAGAAAGTTTATTACTGTTGTCAGCAAAAGTCATACGATGGGGACAGCAGCAAAGGGCTTCTGCCAGTCCCCCTGTCACAGCCGCCTCCTTTGCACCTTAACAGCTTCACTCCAAAAAATAGAAAGACTCAAGAAACAGGACGCCCAGCTTTTAACCCCTAAAGCTTTACAGGTTTCATGAGGCTTTAGAGATATCCACCCAATATTTCAAGAGGAAATTTCACTACAAAGAAACTTGAGACAGCCAAGACACCTCATGCGAGTCAGGAAATGCTCTCTCATTTGCCAAATGGACATCATGTTCTCAGACTGAAAGTTCCTGAAGGACTATCTTCTCTGGTAGGGGAGTGAAAACAGGCAGGTAGGGGGGGCTTGTGGAAGGGCCATTGGTTTGCATGCCAAAGGACGCAGGTTCAATCCCCACAAGACCCTGCTACCAGTTAGGGCAGGTAAGACTGAGCTAGATCAATCTGATCCTTTATATCCTTGCTCACTCAGAGGAGCCACTGCTAGTTGCACAGGTTGTCTCCACCAGAAGCCTCATGTTAAGAACTATGGGGCCTTCCAGTTGAGGTCAGAAAGGCCCCACCCCACCCCCATTGAAGTAGATGGAAACTTTTTATTCCAGCAGGCTTTTTAGCTGAACTCAGATTTCATGCTTCAAACTAATTTTTAATCTTATTATACTGGGTCTCCTGTATACTGCTTAGATATGACCGCAATTAAGTGGTATAAATTATAAGTGGTATAAGTGGTAAATTATAAGTGGTATAAGATTGAAATAAATAGATGTGCTAATAGTTTGATCTGTATAAGGCAACTTCATATGTCTCTAATCTACAACGCAGCTTTCACTAACTTGGCAGCCTCCAAATGCTCATTGGAGCTGATGGAAGTTGTAATACAAACAATCTGGAAGGAGTCAGGCTGGGAGAAGCCAGCCCTAATGCAACACCAAACAGCTTGGCAGCTGCCGACAAACCCCTAGAGGGCACCCAAGGGAGACTTCTGTCTCACCTATGTCTTCTCCCATTCCTCCCACCCACAAGAGGAGCAGCACCCAAGCACTGGATGCTGCCAACAGCCAGCTCCAACCGCTGAAAGAAGAACCTGAAACTTGATCGTGAACAGTGCACAGGGACTCACAACGTATCTGTCCATATCTTCTCTGTCCAGTGGGCGGGTCACCTTCAGCCAGCCAGATTCCCTCTCAATGGTGAAGACTCCAACAGGAGGAGTGTCAGCCCCCTGCCCAGTGATGCTGTAGAAGACTGTCGTCTCTTTATTCTTATTAGATTGGATCTGGTGGAGAAAATAATCGAGACGATGACAGGTATTGAGCATTCAAGGCTGGTTGAAACATGCCATATCCCTTTCCCTGACACATGTCATATTGCTGCCCACCAACAGAGGAGATGCACCTGCAGCTCATGAGCCCAGCAGACAGCCTCCAATGATGCACAGCCCACAAGATGTAGTGATGGCCACTAACATGGATGGCTTTAGAAGAGTCAAGCTACTGATGTAGGATAAGGTACCAAGAGCTACTAGCCACAACGATTATGTTCCCCTTCCATGGTCAAGAGGTAGTATGCCTCTGAATGCCAGCCGCATGGAATCACAAGTGGGGGTAATGTTGGAGCACTCATGTTCTGCTTCTGGGCCCATCTAGTTCAACCCCCAGTGACCCTACGACATTACCAACTTGGGCATCAAGGAAAGTAACTTAAAGGGAAGCAGGCCCCTGCAGGGACCCCAGGAGATGCTGCCACCTCAACTTACCTGCACCAGTTGCTTGGGGAAAGGACCTCTCTCGTTCTCAGAGCAAACAATGGGTGGGATGACCCAGTCTCTCTTCTGCCTCCTCAGGCCTGGGCCGGATACTGGGAAGGTCAGCACCTCTCCATGACCAAGGGAATAGGGCTCCTGCAAAATAAAATAAACGCATCTTTAGCTCAGCAAGGAATGAACAAAGCAGAGCATTTCACCATGGAAGCCTTGGTTGGTGCCTCTGGAAGGCTCCCTGACAAACAAAGAGGGCAAGGGAGGCTGGCAGAGGAAGGAGGCTCTGAACAGAAGGCTCCGTACCGCGTGAGGATGCTGCTTGTGGGATCCATGGCCATGACTTCGCAGCGTCACCTTAGCAGAGTGTTTTTTGCCAGCCCCGTCCCAGGCATGGATGAAGAAGTGCCACTCGTGAACGTGGAGTTGCACAGGCCTTTTCACCACCACCACGCCATCCGAGCGCACCCTGAAGCGAGTGTCGTCCGAAGCGAAGGGTCGGTGTGTCCTTTCTGAGCATCCCTCAAAGTTTACTGCATGAAAGGGAGGAGAGAGAAAGATGGGGGGCGTCAGAGATTCATCAATTAGGGAGCAAGAGGATGGACTGGCAGGTGGGCTTTACCAAAACAAGCTTTTCCAAAGATGCTGCAGCCAGGGGGCGCTCACGCTCCAAACATATGGGCAGAGGAAGCACCTTTTCCAACACAAACAAGGTAAGTTTCCACAATCTGTCGCCACTCCCAGGGTGCGGACTCACCAACTGTGCATGCAGCTAGTAAGTGTTTCAGCCGCTCCAGTTAGAAATGGTTCACTTTGGGAGAATGGTGAGAAACAGGCTAGCGGCTGAAGGGCTTGGTTGTGTGGCAGGCAGGGAGAGACACAGTTTGGGGCTACCCCTTTCTGCTTACTTAGTTACAGATAGGTAGCCGTGTTGGTCTGCCATAGTCAAAACACAAAAAAATCCTTCCAGTAGCACCTTAAAGACCAACTAAGTTAGTTCTTGGTATGAGCTTTCGTGTGCATGCACACTTCTTCAGATAGTGTTAGCGCAAATGTTGCAGACGATAGAAGCAAAAGTTATTGAAGCCCATGCAAGGCTTGTAGGAGTTTTGTTTCTCCCCCTCAGCTCTCCTGGTCTTAACTTGACTACAGTGGTACATCGGGTTACATATGCTTCAGGTTACAAACTCTGCTAACCCAGAAATAGTACCTCAGGTTAAGAACTTTGCTTCAGGATGAGAAAAGAAATCGCATGGCGGCGGCGCAGCAGCAGCAGCAGGAGGCCCCATTATCTAAAGTGGTGTTTCAGGTTAAGAACAGTTTCAGGTTAAGAACGGACCTCTGGAACGAATTAAGTACGTAACCAGAGGTACCACTGTACTAAGATTCTGCAAGGGTGCAATGCCCACAAGATGAGGATTATCAGGCCTTCAGGCTTTGATTTCTTTTCCCTTCTGTTAGTGAACACAAACAAATCCCCCAACAACAACACCCAGCCTGGAAAAAATACACATCCAGCCTGCAAGAGAGCAACGTCCTTGGAGCTTGTCTTGGGCATTTTATTTTGTAACATTAACCGATACTGATTGTTTCACTATTTCTATGTAAACAGCTTTGGGAGGGGCACTATGTAAATACCTTAAAGTAAATCAAGCAATTCCTTTGGAAGGCATTTCAGCCCTTGCTCTTTGTTGCTACACAGCAGTCCCCCGCTCGACCTGTATATACAGGGCAGCATCAGAACAGAAAGTGGGTTTTTTTGGTACTCTGGCCTTACATGCATGGACAAGACAGGGGAACAACAGTACAAACCTATGGATGTTTGCTCAATAGTAAGCCCCACAAATATTTAGTTTGCTAGCATTGTAGCACAGAGAAGAGGAGAAAAAGAAGGGTAAAGTGCAAGGCACAGGGTTAATTAAGCATACTCAGACTCCTGAGAGGTAGGCAAAGCTCTGCAGATCAAGGGAGCAGAACATGACCCAAGACAGTGAGTCAATTATCCAGCACAAATGCCAGAGCATCCTCGTGGGTCCCAGGTCACTAATGGGCTTGGGAAGCAGCTTTTCTTCTACAGGCAGGGCCTTGAAGTGATTTCCACACAAGTTGTTTTCAGAGACTTTCCTGTAAGCAGAGCAGGGCAACTGTAGGGCCTTCAGTGTTTCTCCAGTACTGTATCATTTTCAGCCCTTGAAGGTGCACAAGCTCCAGAAATAACCTCCCACCCCACAGCTGCTTGCTCTCCTCCGCCTGGTCAGAACAGGAGAAGCAGGTAAGGATTCTTTTGCAGCTGTCCCAGCAACCCATAATCCAAGCAGATGCTGCCAGAAGATAATGCAAGGAATGAAGCAGAGGGCTTGCTCACCATATCTGGCATTCAAAGGTATACTGCTGCGAGATATGGAGGCTGGGCTACTAGGTATGCTACTACAACATAAGGTTATCTGCCATGAAGATGTAAAGGAGTCATTGAGATGGATGCTGAACCCCATTCAGTAAATGCCCAGAAAGTCACTGGTGTTCGATTGCTGGAGTTGGGCAGCTGCAGTGGCATCTCTCACTAATATGAACATGGCCAACGGTAATAGCAGAGGCCAAAATTGCAGAGGGATGCACTAATGCAGAAGGTGGTGGGAAGGGCCAGGCAGAAGAATACTGGCCATAGTCAGAATCCAGAGAAAGGCCTGGCCAAACCCCAGGAGCCGCTGCAGGCTCTGGGCCCTCCTCCAAAGCAGAGGCTGGGCAGTCCTGCAAAAGCTCACTGCTGGGTAGGTCTTTCAGGGTGACCTTTCAGGGTCAAATCCTTCTCTTTCAGACCCCTTTCCCCAAGCCACACACCCCACTGGCCTTGGTTCTCTGCAATGCAGGGAGTTGGCCTAGATCACCCTTTGGGTCTTTTCCAACTCTTTTTTTTTTAAATTGGGTTTTATAAACAAGAATAATGTTATACCAACAAGTACAGTATACCAAGTTTTCTCATGTCATTTGCATATCACAAAAATAGCATAATAAATGTGGAAAAATATCTACAACATGCATTTCATTATAGTGGTACCTCGGGTTACAGACGCTTCAGGTTAGATGCTTCAGGTTACAGGCTCTGCTAACCCAGAAATAGTACCTCGGGTTAAGAACTTTGCTTCAGGATGAGAACAGAAATAGTGCGGTGGCGGCGCAGCAGCAGCAGCAGCAGCGGGAGGCCCCATTAGCTAAAGTGGTACCTCAGGTTAAAAACAGTTTCAGGTTAAGAACGGACCTCCAGAACGAATTAAGTTCTTAACCCGAGGTACCACTGTATTAGGGGGTCAATGTATAAGTTATTGGTTCATGAATTGGTTCAAACAATTAGGAAGACAAAAGAAAAAAAGGGGAGAGGGGGAACGGGGAATGGTAAGTGGGGTGGGGTGGTTATGCTTCTATTATTCTGCTTAGTGTGGAGGGAGCTGTGTCAGCGTTACTTGTATGGGCTCTCTTACTAATCACTTGTTGTATTTCCTTGGTGGTGAGAGAGGCTGGGGGTGGCTTAGGGTGTAGTTGGTTGTCTTTGGTTGACTGTAGTGAGAATTGTTTTTGTGTGTGAGGGGTGTGAGTGTGTATTTTTGAATCAGATCTTTTCCAACTCTACAATTGCATGTTTCTACAATTCACGGAGCTTCCCTTAAGTGTCTTTCCCTGGCTGGAATATGTCCTTGAACTCTTGGCAATGCCTCTTGCTTGTCTGGGGGTGGGCGAGTGATGTAGGAAGCAGCCATCTGTGTATTTGTTTCTCCACCTACTTTTGCCCTTGGCCACACCCACCAATGGGCATGTGGCCCCTGGAAAGTTTTTCAGAGGGGAAAGTGGCCCTTGAGCTGAAAAACATCTCCCGCTGTTGGCCTAGAGACAGTACTAAAAGCAGTGATATCATGCACTTAATGGAAGGGGCACTGCTTCTTGTGAACTGTGCTGAGATCTTCGGATGAAGGTTGGTATATCAGTTTGAAGAAGAAGATAAAGATGAAGAAATAAACATGGGGCAACAGGGAGGAAGCTCACACAGCTGGCTGTTCTGATTTACACATGTACACAAGACACAAACGGACTCAATCTGCAATCTTTCATGGGAAGCTACACTTTTGGAACAGAAAAACAGAACCACCCACCAGAAGTGAAAACTATTGTGGGATGTTGTGCAATAACCTGGAACAGCTGCACCCTCTGCATGCCCCCAAAAGGAGTAGGGTTTTTCAGCTGCAGAGCCAATATGCCCTAAACACCAGTGCCTCCTTAAACCAGCCCAGCTAGAACAGCTGTAGGATGCTGGACCTGATAGGAGTTGTAGTCCAACAACCTATAAAGGGTACCTGGCAACTTTAGCCAACATGCTAGATGCTTTTTTACTACACGCTAGCAGGGGCTGAGGAGAGCTGCAGTCCAAAACATCCAGAGGGCACCAGGTTGACCAAAGCTGCTTTAAGGAAATGAAAGCAAATGGAGGAAGAAGGTTGAGAAACCACAGCATTAACGGCTTGACATAAAATAAAATTTCCCATTGCAAGAATCTGAAGTTGTTCCCAGCATTAAATATGCACGATTAAGGATGAAAAACAAACATCCATTCATTAACTAGAAAGTAGCAATGACCACCCTGCAAAGCTGCAAGAGCCATTACAAGGAGCTGTTGCCAGTTCAGCACCATCACTCTCTTGATTAGCTGGGCAGTCCTTGCAGGTGAGGCTGGCAGGGCTCACCTGCTCTCCCATCTCCCAAAGAACCACTCAAGTTCCACAGATCCAGAAGCTGTGGACTAAAACCGCCTCTGCCCACATCCATGAAAGGAGGAAGCGATCAGAGTTTAGCATGCAGAGTACTACCAGGAGCTGACCTGTGGACAAAGTCTACCACAGTCACAACTGGCAAGCAGGAAGCTCGTGCCACGTTTGACTGTGGTCTAAGCAAAGAGGCTGCAGAGGGCCCCGCAGATGCAGGCATAGTACCCTACAAAGGTATGCAAGCAAGAGCTGCAATGGGCTGCCAGCAAGGCTCCACTTGCAGCTCAAGCTCCCTTCACTTTGCTACAGCCATGGCATCCCAAATCTTGATTGTAAACCAGCAGAATTGGTTGGTGCCCTGGTTTTATTGGTGGAGGGAGGAGATGGGTAGCTTCTGGGATTTTTTTCCCTCTGGCACCAAGGCACTCAAGGACAACCTTCCCAAAAACTTTTGTACCCTCCAGATGTTTTGGACTACATCTTCTATCAGCCCCAGCCAGCACAGCTTTTATCCACCACCCCAGACAGAGAAAGGTCTGCTACCTGTGAAGTTGCAAACTGGATTTGGGAACATCCTTTGCTATGCAAAACAGGTGTATCATCATCACCATCATCTTTATTATTTATATACCACCCATCTCTCTGGGTTTCCCTAGCCACTCTGGGCAGCTCCCAACAAAATATAAGAAACTCAATAACCATTGAAAACTTCCCTGGGCCCACAGCCAGGCCTGTTTGGGGGTGCTGCTGCTGGAGATGATGTGGTTCTTTCCTTTCTTCTT